TTTGGGAAAGCAAGGCTATGTGAAATTCAATGGAAACGTCAGCTCAACTCATATCATTTGTGGGAAAATTTTTCTTCTACGAAATTGGGTGAATGCATCTCATATTACTGATTTACTGGTAGTCTCGAAACAGCACTTAAATGCGAAAAATATTGTAACTAAGTTCATCAGTTTGATAACTCAGCTGCCGGCTACTAATCGCCAAGGGCAACAATTTGATTCTGTACCATGCTCGGATGGTCATCTTGTTCATAATGAATGCACAAATAAAGATGATAACCAAGGCTCGATGGCAGTTGCCAGTATATTTCTTATCTCTTCTGCCGATGCAAATGCAAATGTTTCCGCCGATACGTTCCCATGACATGTTTTTTTTAAGTTTAACGCTCTTTTAATGGTTACTAGTCCGATGGCCGAAGTGACTTTGGGGCTTATTCGGCTTGTTCGGCATTTTGCTTCTTCCCGACGTCTATTTTACTTTCGCATTTTCTCAGCAGCCGAGAAGAACAGTTTTTCAATCGTCAGATAGCACCGACCGGAGGCCAAGATGCTTCGGTTGGATGTAACTGTTGGAAAATCTACTGTTAATCCTCTTTTGAGAGGAGCTGCCCTCGAAACTGTTAACTGAACAACGGTGGCTTCTGCTTCTTTCTCCGCTTCGAGTGCTTACGGCCCACAGACAGGCGCAGAGAAGCAGACGTCCCTTTTGGCTGGCACAACCTGAGCTTTTGGCCACTCGATTTGCGATAAAATATTCTATCCTGCCGCTGCATGTGCGCGAATGTGGCCACATGAGCATGTATGACTATGCACATGGATTGTAGCTTGAAGGTGTGTGCAAGTCTATTGTGTTTCCAGCAGTCTTTTTGTTCTTCTCAGCCCACACGGTACACAGGGCCCCTTTTCTTTTCCCATTTTCTATTTCCAGTCCTCTAGTTGTCCTTTTAAACTTATCGTCCCTAAGCCGCGGCAATAAACGAGTTTCGAAAGCATAAACACACATGTTACTGGAATCATACTCTACTTCACTTTACACCAGCAACTAGTGGCTCAGTGAACAGCTCGGGGTTTGTGGAGGTATTTTTCGGTCGAAAAGAGGGCTGCTCAATTGT